CATTGACTGACATAAACGTTAACCTCATTTAGACATTCTTCTCATTACTATTGTTGTCGAGATTCATTTCATTATAACCATTAATATTTATTAGTATTATTATTTGCTGTTCGTTAACTGTACTGCAAGCACACGCATTCACCAAGTATATGTATATATCTATTTATATATGAATTTCACAAATGTTAACGAACATGTCATGGTTTATTATGTACATAAATTTTTTATTTAAAATTATAACAAGTTTTGATTTTTTTTAAATTCCTGTATGTGCTTGTATGTGCTAAACTTTATACGACACGGATGCATTCCATACATCCTGATCTAACTTTGTATCCTTATTGTTGTTAATGTTATTTTTTGTTATCCTTATTGTTGACATTGTCCCTTATTTATATTGCTTATATTCATGTAATCGTCCACGAGGACAGTACTGATGGTCCTCCGGACCTCTAAGAGGGGGAGCCCTGTGGAGTCCTCAAAAATAAACTTATCCAAATTTTACTACTATGTAAATAATGAACATATTGTACACTACTTTGTTTTAACCATAAACTCTGTACTTTGGACTTTACCTCGGGTTTTGAATAAATATATAGTTCTGCCTTCGACTCTCCGTCTTCTCCACCATCTCAACTGCCGTCGATCAATTTTAATCACCTGCTTTCTATCTCAAATTTTTGCAGGAGCACCGTAGTTCTTCCTACGTACTTTGGTCGACCTCCGGCAACGTCAACATTGGAGAATTAGTACTGGAGCAGTCTTCCCGCAGCACCTGGAGTCTATAACGTTTATTGTGGACTTTGGATCTTTGTAAACCCAAGTAACCAAACTTTAATACATTCTTCCCGTAACTAAACTGATTTGGTACTTTATTTTCTGTTTGAATTTGGGTAACTAAGCCAACAGAGTAAAAGGTCCACCACATATCTTACGAGTCAACCAGTTCTGCCAGGACCGCCTTCGCTCCTTTCTTGAGAGGTTTCCGGCTATTATTGGGGATAAGTGCCTCCGACTACACGACCTTGCAGAAATGTGACTGTGGCGTCACGCTTCTCTGCTGTCGCTGCAGATCTTTAAATTTACCCTCATAGCTTGGTATGCTGCTCCCTTCCATGTTGTGTTTTAATCTTATGCAGTGTTTATAGAACTCTTGGACGTCTGAAATTACTACTTTAATTTGTCATGAAGGTGGTTTGGTCTGCAGTTGTCAGCTACTACCAGTCCGATCAGCTCCTGTTATGTGGATACCGTCTACCATTGGCTTGCGTCATACAACTCCTTCTCGCCTGCGTCTTCTGTTATCAGTTCTGAATAAGACATGTGACCAAAGTGTTGCCTTGTATCTCCCAGCCTGAATCGTTCGTCTATAATGTCGGAATCAGTTTATAACATTGGGGCTTTTCACGATAACTTGGTTGATTTCGGGATAACCCCTAGTGGCACAGACTGTCTATTACGTGGTGTACTTCCCTTTTAAGGCATACATGATACCAGCTGTGGTACCTATCTGGATATTCATCTATATGTTGATCATGATGACAAGTCCAAATCACTACATGTACAGCGCCAATAAATCAGAATATCTAAGAAATAATAAAAATATTCTAATAGCTGCATTTCGAATCCCACTCAGTCATTCGATGGTATTAACCACCTCCTGCACGCTTAAGATATCATTTTTATGGATTGGTTAGAATTCATTTTGGTTTCTAATCGCATATGAATTCAAAAATTCACCCGTTTCTGGTCTTGGTGACTTATTAATGCTCCTTTACATGTTTACTGGACACTAACTGCAGTAGTGAGTCACTTGCAGATGATATTGGTGGTTGTTGTCGGTAAACTAGCCAACGTCTAACAAGCCATATTTATACTTTTGTGAGTAGCCTATCATACCTAATGTAACACAATGAGCAATGTGGTGCAAGCATTACACAGTCCGAAGGGAGTTGTTCGGAAATCGTATGGGCTTTTTCGGGAGCATAAATGCAGTCTTAGGACAATTGTTCGTGTGCACTTCTAACTGCCAGGACCCGGATGCCAGATTTAAATTAGAGAAACACTGAGGACCAGTAATTTCATCGAGAGTTGCATTGATGTGAGGGATTGGGAAAGAATTACGTCTATTCATGGCGTTCAGTTTGTGATAGTCAATACACATTCGGAGGCAGCCGTTCTTCTTTTTAACCAAGACCATGAATAACGCCAATAAAGAAGATGATGGTACTGTGGTATTTTTGTCCAGCGTGTCTTGTATTGGAGTATCTAGTTGGGACTGATAGTGAAAAGGAATCCGTCTGGGTGGTTGATGCACAAGTGGGTGACTTCCTGTGTCAGTGGAGTGTTGGAAAACATTGGCGACTCCCAGATTATTCCCTTCATCAAACACATCGGGATATTCCCCAATCAATGCCAACATTTGTCCCCGAATGGGAGCAAGGGCAGATGAATTGACTGAAATTTTATTGAGGATGAAGAACATGGATAATTTCGACTCATTGCAGGTCGGTTGATGACAGCGGTAGGGGGCATACAAGCTGAGTCATTAGTAACCTGGGAATGGGCGGCGTCTCTAAGGGTGGAGTGTGTTGTAGGAAAATCTACACCGACAATCAGGTCCAACGTTATCTGAGCACAGATGAGAAACTGGTGATAATTATTAAGATCTCCAAGGTTTACCTGTAAGTACATGTAAGGTTGGGTTCCCATTTTAGCACCGTTAGCTACTGTCAAGACATTGTGAGTGGCTCCTAGCGAGGAGAGTTGGGGCAATGGTCGGAGAAATGAAATCTTTACGAGCGGCGCGCCAGTATCCCGGAGTATTTTAGAGGGTACTCCGTTAAAATAATTCCACTCCGTTAATGAGTTCCCATACCATTAGTGACTCCCCATTACATGAATATGTAAATAAACTATAAAACGGGGACTCACTTCGTTAAACCTGGAGGTTGTGGCCACTTTTGTGCTCCTTCATACCAAACCTTCCACAGTTGCAACAGCTGGAGGCGTCACTATCTTCCTATTTTCGATGGTTACTCACAGAAGCTTTGGGGAGACGTTGGCCAGTCAAAGCTACTATAGGTTCTTCGGAGACTCCACAGCAAGGTTCGCTGTTCGTGGACATATGACCTTCTTCGGTGACCATGAACTGAGGAATCGCTTGCTCATGGTCAAGTGCACTGGTTGGTGGCAGCTGCAGGAGGTGTATGCAGATCACCAGAAAGTGAACCGTCAACGACTTTTGTGTTGAATCCTTATATATATCAGTGCGAGCCACCATGGAAGTAATCTGAGGGACTCTCTACAGGTAGTTGTCGCCGGATGAGAAGTTCCATCATCGTGTGGTCGGGGCCTAAATGCAAGCCGAAACAGGCGTCCAGTATGCTCCAGTTATTGCTAGCAAGGTGCGGGCTACCAACACCAACAGCCTCGGCCTGTGGTAGGTTTATACTGAGAGGTAATAAAGGTTTTGGATATAATGGTGACCCAGCAGAGCTAGACTGAGGGATGTCTGCATGCCTTTCTTCTACATCCAGTAGTCTGAGTTGAGTTTGAGGCCTGCAGTTTGGCGAACAGCAGGCACAGTGGGGACAATAGGTGCACATTCCTCTGGAAAAAGCTTTGGTGTTCCCCTTCTGATGGAAGATCCATCTTTTTGAATAACTAGGCAATACCGACACCATTTTTTAACGGATTGAGGAACGGTCACGTAGAACGCGAGCTCCGTAAGAGTGTCTATTCAGTACAGTGGCAGAAAGTTAGCTTACTGACATTGTTCAATTACCTTTTCCTATATATATATATATGTTTATAGCCTGTGCGAGTGAGTAAGTGTAAATATGCTCACTCCATGAATATATTATTTCTAATGTTGATGATAGCAGTAATAGTCTTAACCAACAATGGGGGGTCCAGACACAGTTCTTTGGGCTACTGTCAATTTCACCAGTGCTTTGCCAAGATACTGAAAGGAATTATCGAGAAAAATATAATGATACATCCGGAAAACAAATACTTCTTGTCCAAAGCGCAGCATTGCCTCTCTCTCGCGGATGGCAGACGTTTTTAAGGGCAGAGCGAAGTTGATCCACATGCAGCTACAACATGAAACTTGCCGACATCATCTTTATAGACATCAGTAAAACCTTTAACAAATCGTCTAATACAAGACTGCTCATGAAGTCAGAAAGTCTTGTGATCAAGGGTGTCTTTCTAAAGTGGATTGAGGAAATTCTCATAAGTAGGAGACAAAGAGGCTAGATAAAAGTCCCAACCCTTCTCTCGGAGAGCAGCACGTATTTGAATGTCACAAGGCATTGTACTCAACCCCTTATTTTCATCTTTTGCATTGGGGGAGCACCTTAGCTCACCGAAAATTCTGTTGTATTCTACGCAGCTAACATAAAAATCTGGAGTGAATTTGGGCTTGATTATAACATGCTCATGCTGCAAATCCTAGATTGATTCAAAGAATAGGTGCTCCCAATCAATGCAGTGACACGCGGAACCACTTGTATTAAACAAGTAAGTCTCGGCTCATATGGCATAGAGGGACTGACATCCCAGTAAGTTCAGAATCGTAGTAGATCCTGAACCGTACCTGTGGCCCACAGTCACGCAATGTCAGCCGGATTTTTAAAATCATTATCGGTGATAACTTAAGTGCCTACTGGAATAATCAGTGGAATGTTTACCTCTTCGTGAATATCTCTGGTCATATTAAGCTGAAAAACTGCATCCAGTCCTTGTCTTAGGGAAGAATCTTTCATTCTAGAAAGGGTTCAAAGGAAAGTCATACCTATGATTACAGGTATGACCAATTTATTACGCGAGGAAAGAAAGGAATTTCCTCTGTTTATCATACCATATGCATGAAGGTGGTCTAATGAAAGTGTTCAGAAATATAAGAAATAAGTGTAGACTTGATCTCTTCTCCTTCCAACTTGGCAGGAAAATTTTGGAGGACATGGCATGAGAGCTCAGAAATCAAGGTGAAACTGTCTGTGAAAGTCTGGCTCTCCAACCACTGCCAGTAGATATGGTGTCAGTGCCCTTGGTAGACTGGTCCAAGAGGAAATTAAACAAGCGCAAAAGAGTATTTGAAAAGTTTAGAACGAACAGCAATGAATCTGAATATCGAGCACAGAGCGTACAGTTTAAACTATATCTTTACATTTATGGACCGGCTTTTATTAGCTAGGAAATGTGCAAAGATAATCACACCTGTCTGTCGCGAAATGGCATGTAGGTTGCTTTTGATATAAACTAAGTCACTTAGATTTTGTTGGAGTGGTGAACTCGCATTCCAGTCACTCAGTTTGCATAAAATGGACACAAGCGTAAATTACACAGGGGATGTAGCGATGGCATATGCGGTCATACACTTTACGCATAGACAGTTAGGTGCACTCACTCCTGAGCTCTTTCTAATGTTGTACAAAACATACGTCAGGCCACACCTTGAGGTGCATAATATTATTGCACCCCCAATGCTGAGAAGAGATGCCAACCTCTTGGAAAGAGTCCAACGACGGGCAACAAAAGGAGTGGTTGGTCTCCGAAACAAACCATATGATGAAAGGCTGAAGAAATTAGGCCTGTTCACACTTAGTTACCGTCGGCTTAGGGGGGATTTGATTACTGCCTACAAAATAACAAATGACCAGAATCACCCAAACAAAGGTGTTCTGCCATTGAGTAGGTATAGGCTTCCACGTGGAAATCCCAGAAGGATAGCTCACCAGAGGGCAAGGACCCGGGTGCGCTCCCACTTCTTTTCACTGCGGGTTTGCCGTCCCTGGAATTCCTTACCGGCAGATGTAGCTATGGCACCGTCTTTGGACGCCTTTAAGCGAAGGCTGGACAACCATGCAGCGATACAAGGACTGCATCCAAATGGCCTTTCTCCTTAAAATCTCATTTACCAATCAGGGTAGATAATTAAACTCGTCACTTTACTTCTTTACATTCTCTCCCGTCTTACTCTCCTGACAACTTATTAATATTATAATTACTATTATTATTATTACTATTACCGATATATATATTATTCTCCAAACTTAATGAGCTGACTGTTGTTACGTTCCCTATTTTCGTTTCTGTCTCTTAGTCTGAATAGCTTCACTAATTATATCTATTATTATTATTATTATTATTATTATTATTATTATTACTATCTCTCTTCTCTTGTCGACAATACCGAAGGACTAACTGGCGAAAGGATCAACTCCAATCACAGTAGTAACAGTCTTAACATACCTCATACTACAAACCACATATAATTAATCCCAGCACTACTCCCTTTGGAGTCAACCAAAGCTACGACAGTCGAGTGGCGGGACAAGCTACGCAGAAGTTTACCGAAGATCAAGAACCTATACCTCACAATCAAGAAGCGAGCACAAAGAAATCAAATTGGTTTATACTAGCTCGTAAAAACGATATTGGATATTGGAAATAAGACCAAAATATATATGTTCTCATGCCCCGAATTCCATAACTACAGCTTTCTGCGGATATTAATTAAAAGGAGCTCGAATTAGTGTGGTCTTAGATTTGGGTAGCCGAATACTTATTTTATTTTGTGCGTGAATCTCTATGAAGTAGTTGATGCAATATCCTGATTACGATCTAGTATAAACCAGTGATTTCTTTGAGCTCGCTTCTTGATTGTGAGGTAGAGGTTCCAGATCTTCGGTGAGCTTCTGCGTAGTAAGTACCGCCCCTCGACTGCTTTAGCTCTGGTAGACTCCAAGAGGAGTGGTGCGGGGATTGGTCGAGATGTGGTTTGTAGTATGCAGTATGTTAGGACTGTATTGCTGCCGTGAATGGAGTTTGACCTAACTCCCGTTGGTCATTCGGTGTAGTCATAAAAGCAGAATAGTAATAATAATAGGTTGTAGTGTAGATAATATAGGTTGAGATAAGTGGAATAATAAAGGTGACCTAAGGAAAAGATAGAGTGAGAGAAGGCAGAATAGGTCGTGGGGATTTAGTTTGTACGCTTATCCATTGACAGTGTGGTTTTAAGTTTTATGAGGATAAGCCATTGAGACACAAACCTTGCATTTCTGCATGATTGTCTAGCTTCCGCTTAAAAATCTCCAGAGATGGCGCTGTAGTCACGGCCGCCGGTAAAGCGTTCCAGAGACGGCAAACACGAAGCGAAAAGAAATGTGATCGCACTCGAGTCTTTGGTCTCTGGTGTGCTATCCTTAGCGGGTTACCTCGTGGAAGCCTATAATCGCTTAATGGCAGGATGCTTTTATTTGGGTGGGCCTGGTCATTTAGGATCTTGTAGACGGTGATGAGGTCTCCCCTGTGCCTACGGTAACTAAGTGTGAAAAGACCTAATTTCTTTAGTCTTTCCTCATATGATTTGTTGCGGAGGCCGATCACCCATTTTGTCGCTCGTCTCTGGACACTTTCTAGAATGTTAGCATCCCTTTTGAGTAGCGGAGGTGCAATGATATTATGCACCTCAAGGTGTGGCCTCACATATGCCTTGTATAGCCTTAAGAACAGTTCGGGAGTGAGAGCTCCCAGCTGCCTATGCATAAAGTGTAAAGTTGCGTAGGCTTTGGCGACGTCCCTCGAGTAATTTCCACTGGTGTCTAGCTTTTCTGTTAGAATAAGACCTAGATCTCGCTCTGATGGAACACAACTCAAGTTCTGGCCACCAAGGGTGTAATTTACACTCTGTGACCTGCCGGAATGAAGTTGCACTACTTTGCACTTCTTTAGGTTGAAAGGCATTCCGTTAGCCAGAGCCCAGTTTCCCAGAGTTTGCAGGTCAGCCTGCAATCTATCTGAGTCTTCCGATGAGTTTATTGCTCTCCAAATCTTTACGTCGTCAGCGTAAAGAAGCGCAGAGCAGTTTAGTTGGGAGGGCAGGTCGTTGATAAAAATCAAAAACATCAACGGCCCTAGGATAGAACCCTGAGGAACCCCTGATGCCGAGGTGTGCCAGGATGATCGGATGCGGTTGACTTTGGTGCAGAATTCTCTCTCGCCTAAGTAATCTTTCAGCCATGCGAGAAGTGCTCCAGAAACACCCGCCTTGCTTATTTTGTGAAGGAGCAGACCATGGTGAACTGTGTCGAATGCTTTCGCAAAGTCGAGAAAGATCACGTGGGCTGGTATTTTTTTGTCCCAGGATAGTGTCCAATCGTTCCAAGCTAGTAGAAGATTCGTCACGCAGGATCTTCCCCTCCTGAAACCGTGCTGTGCTTCGTGAAGAAGGTTAGTCCCATCGAAGTATTTTCTCATGTGGTCGTCAATGAGACTTTCCAATATCTTCGATATCACTGGAAGTAGAGCAACTGGTCGCATTCTGCCGGTCACCACCCTTGAAGATAGGGGATAGGATTGCTCGTTTCCATTCACATGGAAGTTTCCCTACATCAAGGGAGTGTTGGAACAGATCACTTAGGGGTTGGCAGAGACTTTCTGAACACTGCTTCAGGACAGATGGTCTGATGTCATCACAACCTGAAGACTTTCCCGAAGCCAACCTTCCCAATTTTGCAAGTACCATAGCCGGGGTAATTTGAAATGTACCCAGCAGGTTTTCGCGCGTTGGTTTTGCGATGTAATCTGGATGTTCTGTGGGGGTAATATCCTCGTTACTGTTTAGTTGCCTGTGAAAGGCTAGGCTGAATGTCTCTGCCATTTCAAGACTAGTAAGAGATTTCCCATCAGAACCCACTAGATTGCATGCTCCCTGGTTGGTCGGTTTTCTTTCGGACATAAACCTGTATAGGCTTTTGGGGTTCACGAGAAGCTTATTGGCGAGGTCTCCCTGAAATGTCCTTCTATCGCTCCGGACTCGTATGTTACATCGATTCCTGAGTTCAAGGTACACTTCATGTTCGGGTTGACTCTTCGATCGTCGCCACGCAAACCAGGCTTTTCGCTTCGCCTGCAGAAGGCGTTGTGTCCCCCTTTTTAGCCATGATCGTTGCTTCCTAGCTTTTGGTGTGACTAAAGGAACAGTGTCTGAGACCGCCTGGTGAATGATCTCCTTTACCACTCTCCAGTGTTCTTCTACTGTTAGCTCTGTCCATTTTTTAGGCCAATTTGCTTCAGACAGAAGTCTTCGCATTTTGGTGTAGTTGGCTTTGTTATAACACAGATAGGGCTGTGTATTGTCCCACTGTAAGCGCTCGCGGAGGACTATGTCGAATACTATGACCGCGTGGTCACTACTACCTATGGGAGTCGTGATCTGAACGTTTTCCACTAGTAGCTGGTCACTAGTGAGCACGTAATCCAGTCTAGAAGACTTCCCATCAGGGCCCCATCTAGTATCCATCTTGACATTTTCAGTGAATCCAGCCTTCCTGATGGTATGCAGCAGATTTCGATCAAATCTATCATGGGCTTTTCCCGACACCAAGTTAAGAGATGGGGCATTGAAGTCACCAGCTATGACAATTTGATCATAACCCATGTCTTGAGTTGCTGAGATTGTATTTAGCAGTACCTGGTTGTGGTCTGCTCCACATGAAGGTGATCGATAAATGCTGCCCACTAGATATTTGCAGTACCCAACGGTGAAGTGGCACCATATGGAGTCAGGGAGCTCTGTGAGGGGAGGGTCCATCGCGTGAACACATCTGAGCTGTTTGTCGACGTATATGGCGACTCCACCTCCTTCTTTCAGGTCCCTATCTCGCCTGACTAGGACCATATCATTTATACTGACTTCGCTGTCTGCCACCGTAGGGGTTAGCCAGGTTTCCGTCAGTATTATGATTTTGGAGTTTAGTTGTGATTGTAGGTGTCTAAGTTCAGCTATTTTGCCTCTTAGCCCTCTCACATTACTGTACAGGCAACTGGTAGTCAGTCTCACCACTTCCCCGTATTGGGGGGTAGTTGACTTGATATTGGCTATCGGTTGAGGAGTTATCCTACGAACTAGTTGGCCGATTCCCCAGGAACCGGCCTGTTGGCGTTTTTTTCTTCTAGTTCAGTCGGAGCACTCGGATGACACTGGCTATCATCGTCCGTGCTGCACCGCTGTAGTGTGACTAGGGGTTGAGGATTTTTTTACTACGCTTTGTTCTCTCCTTTGAGTGCGAGGCCGGCTCTCGCAGCAGCGAATGTGTTTGCTGACCTTGTCCTTGGTCTCGTACCATCTATGGAGAGCGGTAGTCAACTGGTCTTGGGAGCTGAACTTGACAGCTAACAGACGTGGCGTGTCTGTAAATAGAGACAGCCCCTGAACTCCCCAGGGCCATCTGGGATGCCAACCATCTCCATTGTTGTACATCATGACAATGCTTTTCGCAGGCGTTCCCAGTTACCAGTTCGGGAATGCCATGCACAACCATGGAGGCAGAAGGAATGAGCTCTGGCGACTCCCTTGCCATTTGTCTTTCCTTCCACGGCCTGTCTGGCTTAACACGTATGTTACAGGCCCTCCCCATAGAAAGGACTTGAGAAGCCAGTAACACTTTTTCAACATTCTCGGTAGAGCCCAATGTTACCCTCAGTGGGGATGTTTTGCCTTCAGGTGCAGCAGTGCCCCTATACATGATGGTGGTTTGCATTACAAAACTAGGTGACTGTCCGAAATTATTCTGTTGATAATAGCAGCGATGGATGGACATGCCTTTTTAACGGCAGTGAACCACTAGACGTCTGTCGACTGAAGTCAAATTTCTCGTCAATGATAAGACTAGACAGAGCCGAAATGAAAACCAGCTGTTAAAGTTTGGACTTTAAACAAAGTTAATAGGAAGCCCACTCCTTCCCTGTGTTTTCTGAACTTTTTTGGAAGGATTTCGAAGTTAAGATCTTGACATTATGCCTATATCTTTGCATACCAAAGCAGTCATTGACATTTTTCGTCCTGGCTAAAAGACTGCCACTAGCTCAGGCGCTGCATGAATTTCCAATGAGTCCTAGTGCGTTCGTGACATTCCACTTAACTTCAAATCGAGCTTCATTTATAAAGTTTGAATCCCTAAGTATTATGCACACTTGTCGATAAATGCTGTGCATAGACATGCATTTAGTAATCAAGTTGTTGTGTTTGCTTCTCCAAGTATCTAGGGTCGTATTATTAACGCTTACAATGTGCTGACGATTTGCTTTTACTAATACTAGGTTGAAAATGATAATACGTCATATTCGGAATATATATATATACAGCGTCAGTTTCGTTAGCTATTGACGTGTGTGGCGGTATTCAAGTCCTTATTTCCACTATCTGAAGTGATGTAGTTTTAAGTCTAAAGCGGTCATAAACTAATGTTTATTGTTTTAATACGTGGCAGTGCACCACAGGTTCTTTTTTAACTTGATCGGATCGTGTGAAACTTTTTCAGTTTTATTTACTTCTATATACCCTAGCATAAATAACGTGTCCACCAAGAAACACATGACTAGAAGAGATATGTAAATCAGTCTTTGTGTCACATTCCAAATTTGATATTGCACAAGTGAATCTTTCACATGCGTATATGGCGTATAGCATTGTGATGTAATGTCACCCTGCGACATTAGCAAAATTTTAATTGCGAGTAGTGTATTAACGAATGATTTAATGGTTCAGCGCCTGATGAACACAGCAATTCCAAGCCATTTGTTGAGGTTTATTAATATAGGCATTTCCTACCACTAGGTCCAGCTTTAGTCTGGGCTACATCATAAGCCCTCACAATCTAAATGTGGCTTATCATCCAGTTGAAAAAAGGATCCGTCCTGGGTATCCATGTTCTAGCTGGGATAATTCATTTGCAAGATGTTGTTTGCTGAGCTTTTTATCGTTCCAGCTGAATACTACAGTTCTTGTAGTTCTGATTTCAAGCTATACACGGAGAAGTAGATTCATCTGGGGATAAAACACTTCATCGGTATGAACTCATTCCATACTATTGCTAAACCTCTGTCCGTTAACTGGACGCTTACATACTGATTATATCACTTAATTAGAACAGAAATTCCTGATGTGTGTCTTTATCTTTAATAAACCGATGATAATTGCAAGCAGGTTTGTGAACTGGTTAATGAGCCGCGCATATTGTATGGAGGTTTAATTACTGTCTGGAAATTTTCTAAAATGTAGTGTTATTTCGAAATAACTTTTCAGATTATCATATCGAATGGAAACCAAAACCATTTCCCTGCACTAAGGCTGAACGCGAAGCAGCAGCGAAACGATATAACCTCCTACCATCAGATTACAAACCATTCGAAGATGATGGATTAGCACCAGGAGATTACTTCAAAGTTGAACCGTATAACGTAAACAACCTTGATCCCTGGGAACCCTACGACTATCCACGTAGCAGACGGAATTACAACGACCCCGTTTTATTTAAAGCACACATGTATTCTTCGACTGGATTCGATCCTGTATTGATGAAAGAAAGACTCGGAGGACATTCAATGTAAGCTGTGCATTATCTTATCTGCAAAACCTATGAATTTTAGACCGTGGGTGCTTTTCAAGATATTTTCACCGTTATTTGGTCTCACATTCCTGCTTTACATTGGCCAAATGTTCGGCTACTTCTCACCAATGGTAAGCATTAAATAAATTAGTGTCCTACAAATTATTTGCAAGAAACTTAACTTTTCACTATATGACACAGACCAGACAAAGTGCTTTCGACACTACGTAAAACAGAAACGACATTGCACAACTGCATCTCAGTTATATGCCCGGAGTTTCGCTGGATAGGAGGGAAAAAGCCACAATACCTACTTGTAGTACTTACTACAACACTGACTACGTACTAGTCTTTTAACGTACGTTATGTCTTTCTGGGCTTAGTTTAGACAGGAAGACCAAATCTGTCTGCAGAGTGAGCTGAGGGTGCGAGGTTAAGGCCTAACTAAATGTTTAGTTCTGTTCATAATCAAACGTGCACATGTTAACGAATTGATGCAAGAGAGAATATTATGAGTTGCTGTAGTCAGCAATTTTTACAATGCACTGAATGTGTTAATTTTCCTCACTAACGCGCTCAGATGACTGTCTGTCTGTTTTCGACATAGAACTTTGCACAAATGTGCGGAAGTTCAAGTCGCCACACTCCGTGTAGCACGCGAAGCAAGAGAAGAAAGTACAAGAAAAGCATAATAGAGACAGTGAGCAGAGGTGTGAGACAAAGCAGTAATAACGAAGAACAAAACAGTTTCATTGGATATCATAAGTCACAAGGAGTGGATGCATCTGCGCCACTGAGAACGATTTTGAGCCATGTCACCAATTGTTTCCAACCATAGATTTTTACCATCCCGAGGACCCCAGCCTGGAAGTCTACACCTTCCTACGTGGCTTAGACCAACTGTTGTGGATTTCATTGACTGGTGCCAAGTTTTTGTTTGACCGCCGCTAGCTTTTTCCAGCCTGACCCTATGTCCGCTAACATTGCTCGTCGAGGGAGGCGATGGCTTGGCATGCGTAACACATGTCCTAACCATCTCAGTCTTTGTAGCTTCACGACTTCGTCGATTGATTTCCCTGTTTACCTAGAACTCTACGCCTAACCTCCATGTTGCTCACCTTATTATGCCACTTTACACGAGAAATAGAGCGCAGGCACCTATGATCAAAGACAGCTAGTCTTTTCATGTCTTCCACTCTCAGTGGCCAGGTCTCACAGCTAGCCATAAAGGAGGACGGAGCGGACTGATGAGCAGTACACCCGCCCTTTGGTCGATAGTCGAACATACCCGACCGAAAGCTGCTACCTTGACGTGGTGGTCGGGCTTGAACACCGCAATGATCTATTCAAGCTATACTGGCTGAGACTTATGTCTCTTGAGGTCCTACCATGCCAGGCAGGTTGTTTGGATAGCGGTTAAACAAAAAGCAGCTACCCAATCCAACATCATGACCAATACAAAATCACAAGATTTCATGCCGGATCGGCTGTGGCCTGGATTAACAACGACCGCGCTTCCTGCTGCCGTGTCACAGGGCAGGAGTGATAAGTATGCTACTGAGGCACACCAAACAAAAGAGAACAAACAAAAACAGGCCGCGTGTGACCGGCCTCAAGCAGTTGTCCCCTGGGCTGTGCGGCCACGCAACCAACTTCCACGGTGTGGGCAGCCGGGAAGTAACAATCGCCCTCACAATCCGAAACGCGCTCAGATGAAGGCTTAACATAGGTATAAACCTGACATTTATGTTTGTAAGTTAAGCTAGTTAAACTGCAACTACTTGTTTCCACGTCTAATCAGTTACTCGCACATAGTTTCGCAAATTAACGCGTATTCAGATCTCACAGGTGCTTCGGGAAAGTATATAGATTCTTTCTACCGATGATGTTTACCGGAATAATTTCTCCTTTCTTTTCCTTTGCTCTGACCGCGTTGGCTTCTGATAATATTGACTCCTTTTTTATTGAAACTACAGTCAATTGTTGCGTGAGAGAAGCTTGCAGAATAGCGTTAAAGAGTTACACGATTTTTGTTTTCATAGATCCATTGTCAGAACATTAAGACGGAACGCAACATACAGACAAGTTTTGTCTGCATTTAGAACTTTAAGACCACCCGTTTTACAACCATGTATCTGGTGGCTGACCTCCTAACCCAAGGCGAATGTCACACACAGTTCCTGCAGACAGTATATCTTGATAATTTGTAGTGTTTTGAGCTAACTAACGTGCCATTGCAGAAGCTGTCGGTGGGGACTCAAGGAAAACACTTAAAACGCAAAACTTTCCTGTCAAGTCTTCTCCATTGAACGACCTCTGGAAGGATATGACAGAGTTCTAGCAATAATGTTATCCGTGAAATGTCATAAATTCCGAAAGCGCTATATAAAATCGTGAAACTCTAATTTTAATGGTAAAGCTTTATTTAAGACAGTATGCGAATATACGGTACAAAAATTTTCAGCGTATTCAGTTCCAAAGTACTTTTTTCTTCACATAGGATTCACATGTAAATTAATAATCTGCAGTATATCTTCATTTTGTTGAAGAATTGTACAGCGTTTGCTTGGGAGCAAGTTAAATCATCGCGCAAGTTTATGTATAGGTCATTTGATATAACTGGACGATTAAAACTATGATAAATCCTGATGAAATTAAGCATTTTGGAAGAAAGTAATTTCGGTAGCCCAATGATTTGAGCAGGCCGCCTTGATGTTGCTTAAAATTAAATCCGTTTGTGCTATTACTTGCCGACTAATGTTGGATGAGATAAGGACAAGTTTTTTAAAAGCCTAAACTTCCGAGAAGTGACAACAACCCATGAGGTACTGCTTTAGACCTTTTTCGGAATAACTAAGCTATCCCCCTGGCACCCTACACATGTTACCTTCAAAGTATGATACCTAAATAAGTAGAAATACTGGCCAATACGCGTTGAAGACATGAAAAGGTTGACTGCTTTCGATCATAGATGTCTGCGATCTCTGTCTCACGTTAGGTGGTTTCACAAGATAAGTAATGTTGACGTTAGGCGTAGAGTGTTGGGCAAAGAGGGAAAATCAATCGACGAGGTTATAAAGTTACATAGACTAAGATGGCTAGGTCACGTGCTGCGCATGCCTAACCACCGCCTCCCCTGACGGGCTTTGCTAGCTGATATAGGTTCAGGTTGGAAAAGAGTCAGTGGTGGCCAAACAAAAACATGGCATCAATCCATGAAATCCTTGACAGTTAAACTGAGTCAGGTAGGGAGATGCAGACTCCCGGGTTGGGGCCCTCGGGACTCTAGGAATCAATGGCTGGAGACAATAGGTGACGGCTCAAAATCGTTGTCAATGGCGCAGATGTATTCAATCTCTGTAATCTTTCATATTCCTTTCTACCATTACCCATTCTGTCTCACTCTTATATTTGTCAAACTCTATTAATTCTCTTCACTCATCTTCTTGTCTACCTCTGTGTGATATTTGGAACGTGGCAACTCGAACTGCTGCACTTCGGTGCCAAGTTCTATGTTGAATCCAGACAGACAGACAGAAATACTGTCAATGATTGTACTATGCAAACGATCATTAACACTACTTATCAAACTCAGTAACCAGGTCCTTGGGTATTGTCAGCAGGTTTACGCAGTTCTTATGATACTGACACTATATCCGAATAGTGAACACTGGTTGCATGTAGATCACATAATGATGACTAGTGCTTTTTTCGTATTAAAATTGTCAAATAATATTTCAAAGTTGTTAAACTCTTATTTTCAACTGTTCTCTGTGTTACAGAAAGCCAAACAATTCCCGCTTGCCGAAGACAGAGATAACCACTATACCTTTGAAAGACCTGAATAGAAGAAAACTTGTAAAATAAGAAATAGAATACATACATATGAAGTAGTTACGAAGCGACTTTTATTTAATTACTTTTGAGTCACCGGACCTTACACTTCACACAGATAACAACGAATAAATGTAAAAGTTAGCGCGCCCGTATTGACAATTACATCTTTGGCCATTCCAAAACTAACTGAATTAGGTGGATATCTTACACAAATTGACCTGATAGAACCGGTTGTACAAATGGGACTAGACTTAAAGCCTTCGATTCGATGCAGGTTTTTTCAGTTCCTGACGATATTGATATTCGCGTTCACTCGTTCTGCTGACAAATGCTTGTTTCTCAAGATACCTATTGAGAAATCAAAAAGTAGTACTGTAAGCAAGGTGGCATCCTAACAACAACAACAATGATAATAATAAGCAACCTTACTGGACATTTGTATTATTGTTTAAGTTGTGCATCAGTTCTTTTCATTCCTTGAGTTCTGAGTGGGGTATAGAAGCTTCAGTAGCCGTGGTATTGTTTTTACAGAACAGTGTTACTGGCATGATGCCTAAGCTTCTCTCTTTCTCAGACGTACCACTAGCTGGTAAACTAGTGGAAGTCACCGAGTGCGTCGACCAGGGGTTGAACTCTGCACCATGTACATAGTTGGTGAGCATTCTATCACTGAACCACCGATGCACTAATGTATCATTGATATGCTTAATGTTCATGCAAATAAACGTGATTTATATATTTATAACATTTATTGGACTTAGGTATTATTCCATTCAATTTTGCACGCTTCAAAATAGTAAGTTCTCCAAGTAAGGAAGACGATAACCTATTCCTTTGAATAGCAGTCCATGAAGAATATCATCGTGGAAACTTGTAACTTTAGATATGCACTGATTTTACATTATCAAAGTAAATTAATTTACAGGTAATGTAGAAATATCGGGAAAAGATTGTTTACAAGTGATCGCAATATGTTCGATACATTGATATAACGATATCCAATTCCTAGTTCACCTGAACGTAATGCACACTGTCAGCTCTGTATCGACAAGAACAAACTCCTACGAGATGCCCAGAACACGATCGTTGTTATAAATCTAGTATATCCAACTACTTATGCAGTCATTACTATAAGCGCGATTCGCTCATTGTTAATAGTACCCTTTTCTTTCATTACATTACCGGAAGCATAGTTTTCCCCTCCCTACTTATTTCCTATACCAAAATTTGGTTTCATAATCGATTTGTCCTGACGGCTTAATAATGCGTGAGTTTCAACGAGTCATAAAACAGAAGCTTACCCATCCTTTCCCTTGTTATGGGCTTTGAGATCATCTTCCAGGGATTCTTTTTGTACATACTGTTTCCAGTCCAGTCGCGATTTCTCCTGCATTCGATAAAAAGAATTTATCTTTAAAAAATTTCCTTTGGTTTTCTATCATTTAGTGAAATATTTTCGTCGTTTAAGAGTCAAAGAGATTGCTACAAATAAATCTTAGTCGTACATATTAAATTCATTTAGTGTTAACTAACTTAGGATTATATTCTCCATTATCAGGGAGGTGGTCTCCCTTGTGAGTTATGAAGATGTTTTAGATTGAATGCAGTAATCTACAATAAAAGATTCAATGCAGTAGTATTAACTTGTGATAGTTGAAGAAATACTCATTTTTCCTAATCACCCGGCTCATTGCCAGCTATTCGGAATTACAAGCAGTTGCTGAGTAACAATCTCACCATTTTCTTTTTACAGAGAAAGTCACGAAGTCTACTTCTTGCAGCACTGGTAGTTATGCATTCACACCAATGAGAACAAACAAATAAGTTGAAACTCATGAGTATTTTTATACTAACTTACTAAAGTGGATAATCTGGGTAATTTATTTACTGTAGATTTGAGATTTTGAAGAGCAGAAGTTAAACCAGGTCCCAATGTTGGAGACCTATTTAAAGGAAAAAAGAAAGGAAAATGCGTTATGGTTAGGTGTGTGTCGTTTGAGTTTCATTTGAAATATAAATGTTAGTAATACAGACTACATAAAAGGTAAACATTCATAACGGTAATTTGGGGGAGGGGGGATGTCTATAGACAGGAATGAAATACTCGAGGGACTTCCATGATTTGTTTTTTTGAAGAAGTGATTCAATGGAACTACAACTAGTGGTACGTGTTAAAAGTTACACAGAAATTCTTAGGAACGTGAAAGCTCAAGTATTACTCACGAAACGACGATTAGTCATTCAATGCAGATTATGTATAATTGTGTTGTATCCCAGTTCCAGTGCTTGTGACCAATAACTAGTGTGGCTTAGGTAAAGTAGGAACTTTAAGGCAGTAGTTATGATTTTCGGATGACTATCTTTCAGCAGTATAACCTGAACACTAAGGTAAAATAGAGACTCGCTACTGTTCGATACAGCATACAGTGATATAGCGCTATCTACAGAATGACTATCTGAACACATCCACGCTAAGTTGATCATACATACATCAACTTAAAACTCAAAGCGTGTTTAGGGTCACAATAGATTTTCTCTAGTACATATACATACCCAAATGTACTGGGTGGGAAAATCTTCGCCCTAGCACCTTACGTGTTAGTGTTAAGCATGCATATCGATTCCCAAGCTGTGTTTCTGCACTAACTTTAGTAGCTCGTTAACCTCTTCAATGTATTCTCGAATATAATCATTGAGTAGTGTCGTCCCTTTGAAACGTTTCCGTGTCCTAATGATGATCATGTCACTTTGACTCTTGAAAGGGGATAAGCTGGCTATACCTTCAAAATCAGTTACTTGCTATGGATTTTTCATGGGTTAGCCTATGGAACACACACTAATAGTATGAGGGCTGATGATACCACTCAGTCGCCCACATTGAAGGAGAGTAGGATTCGAGCCAAAAACCTACTGACTAGAAGCACAGTAATTAAAACCACGAACCAGATGTTGTCACCTACTAATGCCTCTACTCATTGAGAGTATAAACTGTAGATATAGGAAAGACTGACTGTAGAAGACAGTACTAGCTCGTATTCAGTCTTCTGTTGTGAGGTCGTGTTAAACACTGCCACACTATAACCCTCCGAGCAGGATTGCAAATTACCACTTTACATATGAGGTCAGATATGCCTGTTAAATTTATTATCATCTTCACGAGTTTGAGGGGCAAGCTGCTAATTCCAAAAAAATATAACAGACTATGGAAGGTAGCTATTGGTTTTAGGATGAATAAGCACCAAAAATTTACGGAAAATGAATCTGTAAGTGTCGTGATTAAACATAGGAAGTTGGTCCATATGTTTCTGCATCTTAAGCTGGAATATGATGTGTGCAAGTGTCTTTTATCAGTTCAGTCTAACAATAATAAGTTTTTTTATCGTCGTATATATCAACAGTAGGGGTGACTAGTTTTTGGGTAAAAGAATGGTTAATAGTATCCAAAATGATAGGGAACTGCGAATGAATCTGACTGCGTTAACTTTTAGCACTGGATATTTAACAGAATATAAGACACAAAAACATGGTACTTAGTAAAGTAACAGCCGCAATAAACGACCTTAGTCTTGTCACACTTAGACGTACATCAAAAAATGTTTCTGCAACGAAAGTCTCTCTGCAACTCGACATCTTTGTTTCTTTTTAAAAACGAAAGTGCAGAAATCTCAGATTTCGAATAAAAAAATCCTCTTACTGGATTATTACAGACATTTAACAAACACTTATTATACAAAAGCAAACTGCAAATCGATATAAAACTTACTTGAGTTTAGGAGGTTGTGTGTTTGTTGAAGTGTTATTCTGATTTTGTGGAATTTTGGTTATGTTTGCTGTCTTCGATACGGTTTCAGTTACTCTAAAAATAATAAAAGGATAATCTGGTGTACAACTTTGTGCTTCACATTAGTATATTACTGGACAAATCATTGTCAAGCTGTGTAGGTGCACTGAATATTGCTAATTTTAAGAGAGATGGTGCTCAGAATTTTGAGTATAGAGAGTAAATGCATCTATCTGACTGTTAAACATTAGAAATGTTTACTTCAATAGTCTTTAATAATGATACTTGTCATTTAGAGATAAACGTCACAATGAACTACTCAGGCAGCCTGGACAATCTGGCATGCTACAGATTTTCAAAACACATAAAATTCATTTAACTTCATTACTATAGCTGCCATCACCGTTGGAGTGAGGCAACATTGGTGACTTGCTGGTAGCACCGATGAAGCATTTTATTACCGTCATAATGGTTTCCGTTGACTAAGTAACCGACAAAATCACATTTATCCTAGTCTTACCAATATGACAGTAAGGCATTAAGGAGAAACTGCCCCCAACAAAAACATGTTGATTGAATTCGGAGTTAAACCTCATTTACAACAAAAGGATATTAATTGTCATTTCGCAGTTTCAAGCAGGTACTAAGATGTCAATTCAGCGGAATGAAAGGCAACTGAGAGATGAGGATTACAAAGGACATCGGTGAGCGGTCAGACCTAGGATATAATATACAAATGCTGGCTGTCAAGCGTATTCAGCACATGTCAGCTGACACAAGGTCAGGTTGGAACAGAGCCAGTGGTAGTCAAACCAAAACATGGCTTCATCAGTCAGTGGAATCCACAACAGTTAGTTTAAGCCACGTTGGAAGGTGTAGACTTCATGGTTGAGGCCCTCGGGACGGTAAACAATGGCTGGAGACAATCGGGAATATGGCTCAAATTCATTTGCAGTGGTGCAGATGCATTCACTCCTTGTGACTTATAATTTCCAATGAAACTATTGTTCTTCGATATTATTATTCCTTTTGTCTCATATCTCTGTTCACTGTCTCTATTTCGAGTTTCTTTTCACTTTCTTCTCTGGCTTTGAATGCTGAGTAAGTTGTGCGGCGACTCGAACTGCTGCACATCAATGCAAAGTTCCACGTTGAAACCAGTCAGTGTCATTCACTTAAATCCCCGATAAACAACACTTAAAAAGTAATATTGTCTATACATTTAACAAAGTCTCAGTGACCTGCGAATATTTTATAGCGGAAAAAACACATTAAAAGCAGTTATGGAAGTCTCGAGCATATTGAGAAAAACTCAGGTGGTTTACAATCATAGGTGGCGATAATAGCTTAAGAATGTGTTATGTGCCTTGTTGGACAACACCCATAAGGTCACTGATGTTCTTTCAGAAGTCAAAGTAATGAGACGAAACCAATAACTTTACTTTGTCCAATTACCAATAAATTTCTGACGCGATGAAGTGGTAATCAGTGTTTGGAATAATTACTGAATTACTCCTGGTAATACATCAGAATACTTTTTGAGATATTGTACTAGGACCTCTATAGAGAGAAACAAATTTCATACCAGTGACTGGTGAATGAACTGTAATCCACAAATTTACTTGTCTAAAGTGCCTCCTTTTCATCGGAAAGGTGAATCATACAAAACGGTTGCTGTCTCCCTGACTAGCATCTGAAACGTCAAGAAAGAACGATATACGCGTCGCGGCTATTAAAGTGAACGCAATTAAATACTAAAACCAACAAAGTAAAAGTTCCCTAGGACTTACTCGACCTCTTCTCCGGCAAACTGATACTTCTTTACAACGTTAACTTTCTCCCCATCAGTCTTCGCTGCAAGTTATTATTTTGAAAGTGAACTTACTGCTTTGCTGGAACCATCTGATTTCAAAAAATCCTCCCAAATTTTGTCCTCTCTTGCTTTTAATTCTTCAGCTGTAGGAGTATCGGGAGGATTAGAAATCTGAGAGATAAGAACTGATCATAGTGACCAAACCTTAGAGACACATTTAGAATTCCTGCTAGATTAGTTTATAATTAAACTTTTATTAACTTTTGTTCATACCTTTTTCGTCGGCCCTTTTTATTTGACTTTCCAACAGAACTATCTAACAACAGATCAATAATGTAAATGTGATTACCATCATCAGAAACATCTGAACTTTCGTCTTCTGTGTCATCACTGCATTCATCTTCGGAAGATCCCTCCAGCTTTGAAGACTTAACTATTAAGATGAATATATGTGCAAGTGCGAGTACCTGGAGGGACATACTCTTCGTCTGAAGTGGAATCATCCTCAGAATTGTCCATAACCGTAGTTCACGTCCGAATGTCTTGAATCCGCAAACTACTTGTCCTTGAAACCGTGACAAGCTTTGACTCTTTAAAACAATATCCAATATCCTGATTACGAGCTAGTAAAAAACCAGTAATTTCTTTGAACTAGTTTCTTGATTGTGAGGTAGAAGTTCCAGATCTTCGGTGAGCTTCTGCGTAGTAAGTCCCGCCACTCGACTGCTTTAGCTCTGGTGGACTCCAAGAGGAGTGGTGCTTCATTCAAACTTGTAAGAAACTACTGACTTCCGAACAGTCTCTTCTAGATTTTGAGAATTTTTGAAGCCATCTTCGGCCGGAAATATAGCTGACTTTTCTTATTATGTTGCATCGTTTTTTAATTAGAATCGGTTGCTCATTGTATTCCCTGTATCACTAATAAAGATTTTTCCACCTCGTCTAACATACTGGTAATATATGAAGCTTCCCCGCTGCTTAGATAATGTTATTTATCCCGAAATGTTAACATTTAGAGGGTATATATGGTACTCAGTGGGGACAAACTTCGCTGTGACATATAAACTGTTTACTAGAGAAATGCTTATCACAAATCTATCTATTAAGTTTATTTTCAACAGCCGGTCAGTTGGTTTCCAAGACCCTATATTTTGAATTTAGTAACAGATCCAATGCTGCAAGTCAGTGCATGCTGGGATATGTCTCGGGTATTTCCAAATCGAAAATACTCGGATCAAAACTGATTAGTTAGATACTGGATACTGTAGTGTATTACTCGTCTAGTGCAGTATACGTGTACAGTTTATACGCAGTATACACTCCAGGGATTTGTAGTCAGTCGAAGTTACACTACGGCCATTTTTTGGGTTGTATGAAGCTTACGTGTAACGTAAGTGAGTGGGCATTATGTCATGGTTCCGTATTATCTACGCCAACCTCTTGAAACTGTTTGAAGGAGGTCGAAAAAGGAGCTGATAAGCTTCCGGCACAAATCACATGACAGCAGGTACCAGGATTCAGGTTTTTGAACACCAGCTGCTCGAAGATGACCCAACCAGTTGTTGTAAGATTATAAAACTTCCGGATCTCAATACCGAATGTACCTTACCGTTAGTTCACTACTGTCATTCTCATGGAAGCCTGGAATTTGTCGTGTATTAGAAGGTGAAGAATGCACTTCATTATTACCGTTCCTATCGATCACATGCAGCTAGTAACGGGCTAAAACGCTGGCGCCTATCGCAGCACAGCCACGGACTTAACATACAGTACATTAAAAATCGAATGTAGCCAACCTCCCCCAACACTTGTTTCTGGGTTTGTGACGGGATAAATTTTGCAGAAGCATGCTTGAGATCAGAAGCCAATATCAAACTAGCAAGGAGCAAGTTTAAAACAGTTTTTACCCAGGCTGCTTTCTTAAAGCATACAAAGTACCAGTTTCGCGTTATACTGCTTTATCATCGTATTATTCAGTGCATGATTAGTAGTACTATTAGTTTGGACGAGGGTAAAGAGTTCCCACAAATACACAAGGAGATAGTTAACATTTACATCTTCGCAACGCATTGGTATCATTTTTTCTTGCTGCTACCTTGATGACGTCATGTTTAACTGATAGGGAAGACAATTTTTGTTTAATGGACTAAATTAAAAATTGCGCTTACTGCATTTAATTTTGAGATATTCCCATAATATTATTCTGAGAAAATAAAATAATTTCATTGCACTGGTGATTCCACGATAGAGTGATCGCCAACCAGGCTGGTGGTCGGGAATTGATTCTCAAGTGACGCACTTTTAAACCTCGCCCGACCGGTGGTAAACTTGGAGAACAAGGAAGGTTGAGAGTGATAATCTCACCTCATGAGAATGGCAACACCACCACCAATGAAACTTCAAAGTTTGAAGCTCCGTATTCTACTCAGAAAGGGAAGTCATTTGAAAATAAATTTGAGTACCATTTTTTTGTTTTGGATTTACAGCTTGATTCTACACTACCAAAATATCTACATTTTGCATCCAGTTTCCTGTTTACCAGCATACACTTATCACTTAAATATGAATTCTAACAGAATCATTTACTCTCGTAACTTTATTAATAATTTACGACCAAATGACTTTCATATTCCAAAGAAACCAAGAAGGAAACATCGTAGTGGTTGGCAGAGAGCTCTCAAACGTACACCAATACACTTAACTACGGTCCCCGTCATAATGAACTCAAACTGTCGCTCTCTACCAAATAAGATAATGTATCTACAATCCCTGATGTCAACTGATACGTATCATAACACTGCCATAATCGCATTACAAGAAACGTGGTTGCATGAACTGTATGATGACAACCTTATCTCACTAAAGGACTTTATTTTATTTCGACAAGACCGTCAATGTTGTAATAAGAAAAATGGTGGTGGCGTTGCAACTTTTATTCACTCCAAATGGTCTGTCTCAAATAACATCTGCTTCACCTTCTCAAATGACTTCATTGACTGTATTACTGTCAAATGTCGCCCCAAACACCTCCCCAAATATCAACAATTCTATATTACAAACATGTACATTTCTCCTAGCTGCTCTCCATCTGATCTATCTAATTTTGCTGATGAATTCACCATGTTTGCTGCTGCCAACTTCGACAACTCTCTATCCGTTATTACTGGAGACTTCAACACATCAGATTGCTCCTTTCTTGAAGCTCTTGGTCACACAAATATAGTCAAATTTCCCACTCGACTTGACAAAACCCTTGACTTGGTTTTTACCAATGATGAAGGAGTATATGAAACACGTAGACGTTCACCGATACATAACTCCGATCACTGCATTGTCCGCGTTTTGCCAAAAATATACAGCAAAACACATATTAAAATCTTCTCACACCTGTCCACGAAGGCACAACAAAGAAGCTACACATCTGACAACTTACTCAATCTAAGATGCATGTTAAAAGATACCAACTGGGATCTATTCTATGAAAGTACATTAGATGACTCAATCACCAATATAATGGATTATCTTAAGTTCTGCCTTGACATATGCTGTCCCAAACAAACACTGTTCAAACGCCTCGACCGCTTTTCCTCTCCCCATCTCAAACAACTTCGCAGGCAAAAAGAAATGTTATATAAATGCAAAGACAAGTTAGGACTTAAAAAGATAAATGCTCAAATCAAATCTGAAATCAAAAATCTTAATGCTATCTATAACCAAACACTTTTATCATGCAAATCTCCAAACAGCATGTGGAAACTTTTCAATGAAATTACTGGCAATAGTAAGCGATGTAATGTTTTTCCCTCTTGTGATGTTAATGCTCTTAATCTGTCTTTTATACGCTCTCCTTCTACCATAACCACTTCTAATGTTACCAATCTTGTAGCTGATAACTTCCAGGACTTCAATACTCTCGATGTTTTGAAATGTCTTAAAACTCTTAAGCCCTCACATAGTCTTGGCCCTGATGGCATACCTGCATATGTCCTAAAACAATGTGCAGATGCTTTATGTTCTCCTCTAACTAATATCCTAAATGCTTCTTTCTCCGAAAACGTTGTACCTGTTCCATGGAAAGACATTAAAATAGTCCCTGTCCCTAAACCTGGAAATAGCAAGAACGTAAAGTTCAGACCCATCGCCATCACTTCCCCGTTTCTAAAGCTCATGGAAAAACTAATACTTCTTAAACTCGAACCCTCCCTTAAAAGCTTCGAAGACCCCAAACAATTTGCCTACAGACAGGGTAGGAGTACTTTAGACGCTGCAGCCGTCTTACACAACAGTATTGTCTCATCATTAGACAAAGGTGCCAAATATGTCCGCTGCACGTTTCTTGACTTTACTTCTGCTTTCGACTCTGTACCTAGAAGTCTCTTGCTAAATAAGCTCTCCACGACACAAACCGAGTCTTGGGTCACTAAGTGGTTGCATTCCTACTTTTCAAACAGAATGCAGTACACCGTATACAAAGGTCAATCCTCCTCTGCTGTGCTCACTGAATCTGGTGTCCCCCAAGGTGCTGTACTCTCCCCACTTCTCTTTTCATTCTTCCTACATGACCTACCGTCTTCAAATGATATTAACTTTGTCAAATATGCTGATGACCTAACTGTATCTTTACCTGTCAAATGTCAAAATGACTGCTCTAAACTAAATGGCTTCTTATCAGAAATTAGCCAATGGTCCAAGGAAAACGGTCTAACCTTAAACCCCTCCAAATGCCAAACAGTTAATTTCACCTTTAGGCATAAATCTGACCTAAACAAACTGGTTAGCGCTCACGAGGTGTGCAACATAGATGGCACTGAAATAGAAACTAAGTCGGAAATTAAATACCTAGGCGTCACTCTATCTTCTGATCTTTCCTGGTCGTCTCATATCTTGACGATTTCCAAGAAAATATACCGTCTTACCTTCTACATCAAGAAGTTAAGACATTCTGGTGTAACCCAACCCTTACTACTACAATTTGTTAACTCCCGTATTCTGCCTATAATTCTCTATTGCTCCCCCTTAGTCTTTCCTGGGCTATTGAAGAAAGACTATACCTTATTACGTAGGATGTTAAAGGTTGTCAGCAGGGTAAGCAGTTTACCACTTAGCCAGCTTGTTAACATTCTGGTGGACAGGCACATGGACTCATGTGAAAAATGGGCGAAGTCCATTTTATCTGACTCACAACACCCTCTACACTCACAACTCTCCCCATGTATCTCTTCAGGGAAAACAAGAAGTCTATATAGGAAACTATATGCCCGCACTAGTAAGTACAAAAACTCATCCATACCCTACCTAGCCCGTGTTCTGTGTGATAAAGAATGCATCAGGCATGAAACCTTTAACTTATTAAATAGTCACTAGAACCAATGAATCTCGTCTTTCCAACTCACATCATTTATGGGTACAACGTTTTCTCTCTTTTCCATTCTCTCTACCTTTTTTGTCTTTATTTTTGTTAAGTGCTGTTTTGTTTTTCTCTTCCTTGCAAACTCTACTTAAAACATTCTTGTTGTTCT